GAAGCGTCTGTCCCGTGTTCCCTCGCCGTGCACAAGCTCCCAAGAAAATGGCACAGTCATAGAGAACTTTTTAAAATGAAAAGTTTTTAAAAACCCAAACCCAGCACCCAAAGTGCTCTTCTGGTCCAGCCTATACTTTGAGTGACCGTTTGAGGTGATGAAGGAGGTGTGTATGGACATGCAGGACTCACAGATGATATACACAATGGGTGATGGTTTCACAGAGGGAGACCTCAACCAGGCATTTGCTTATCAGCTTCCTTAATCCATCTGTCAGGCAACCTCAGAGATTACAGATCTTAAGTCTCTCAGGTGGTGGTTCTATAATCCAATCTGTACTTACCAAAGAGCAGTTGCTTCTCCTTCCCCACCGTGCGGTCCGGCTGCAGACCTTGTGCTGCCGGCAGGGCTTGTGGAGCCGCACCGTGAGCCAGACCAGGTCACTGATCCCCTTGAAAACTAACCTCCCCTCCAGCTAGCTGCTCTTTGGATTTGTCCTCTTTCTGTTGGTAGATCAGCTCACAGCCCCGCGCTCCCCTGGGGCAGCTGACAGCACAGCAGCACGCAGGGAGGGATCTGCAGGTGTGGGTGAGGGTAAGGGTAGGGTTGTCCCTTTTAGATGAGTTACCTAGTCATGATCTTAGCCTCCGTCTTCCATGGCCTGTGGCCATGGTCTTGTTACGTAAAACTGGATAATCACATCAAGTGTATTGTCCTTTGCATTAGTTACCATAGAATCATGGAATGGTTTGGGTTGGAAGGGACCTTTAAAGGTCATCTAGTCCAACACTCCTGCGGTGATCAGGGACACCTTCAACTGGATCATAGAATCACAGAACGGTTTGGGTTGGAAGGAACCTTAAAGCCCATCTAGTACCAACCCCCCTGCCATGGGCAGGGACACCTTCCACTAGACCAGGTTGCTCCAAGCCTCATCCAGCCTGGCCTTGGACACTTCCAGGGATGGGGCTTCTCCCACCTCTCTGGGCAACCTCTGCCAGTGTCTCACCACCCTCAGTGTGAAAAATTTCTTCCTTGTACCTAGTCTAAATCTCCCCTCTTTTAGCTTAAAACCATTACCCCTTGTCCTGTTGCTACAGGCCCTGCTAAAAGGTCCGTCCCCATCTTTGTTGCAGGCCCCCTTTACGTACCACAATAAGGCCACAATGAGGCCTCCCCACAGCCTCCTCTTCTCCAGGCTGGACAACCCCAACTCTCCCAACCTTTCCACTTATTGATTGATAGATTTATAAATTGAAAAGCTACTAAGGAAGCACGAGGCAGATCTGTAAGTTTTTGGGTTGATTATTTAGTCAGTAAAGGAAAATTGGGGTTTGCACAGTGGGTTTTGAGTTCTGTCAAAGAACTTTTGTAGACAGCATTAAATATTTATGAAAGTGCTAGTAATTATTTGAAAATCTGTAGACTTTTTAGAAATGGTGTAGGTGTTAAAGATGTTTTGGTAGAATTATTTTGTGATTTTTGTCAAGGCAGTACGTTTTGCAAAGTTGTAGCAAAACCCAGTAGGTTTTTTCTTTTCTCAGAGTAGGAAGGTGGTTGTAGTTAAAGAATGGGTATTTCTGATTTCCTCATTGCCATACTAAAATGGAATATATCCATGTATATAGAAATACTAAAGATATTTTCCTATCTAACTGGAACAAACCTGTAATGTGGGTTTTTTTAATTGGGATTTTTTTTTAATATGTCAAAATTTGTAACCGGTTATGTGCGTAACCGTTAGTTTGGCTGTAATTCAGCAAACCCTGAATCTGCATGTAAACATCAGCATGCAATTCATCTGAGCTGTGGTAAAGCCCGAAGAGGTGATTCTGTCTCCCCTTCCCCATCTCCCCCTCCTCTGCTTCCCCTGCCAGCTGCTGGGGTCCTGTCCCCTCCCTGGCAGCAGCTTTCGCAGCTGGGGCACCCTTCATTGAGTCCCTTGAGCTCAGTGACTCCACAGGAAGGTGTGAATTCTGGATGAAGGGACCAGGTTCGTTTTCTGTGGGTTTAGCAAGGTGACACGGCTCGACAAGACATGGGAGAAGCAGCAGCGCCAGGGAGAGGGAGGCAAGGGGAGCCTGTGGCCTCGGAGGAGACGGGGAAGGGAAAGTTCACCAGTGCAGGAGCAGCTCCACTGGTTTGCTGAACCATGCCCATAGTCTGGGTCTTGTGTGATGCTTTACCTTTGTAAAACGTTTCTATACGTTACAACTTTGTAGCAGCAATTCATGTATTTTACCTCTTCATAGCTGAAAAAAAAAAAGGAAGGAATTAAATCCATTGCACAGGCCAGAAAGTGAGTTTGCATCAGGCTGAAGTGTTACAATTGCAGAAACAAGTACTTAACATAATTACGTATTTAATAGTTAAATTAACATTTCCTTTTACCATTTCAGTAAGTACTTATTCCCCATTATTAAGGCTACCTTTAAAGAGTAATGCTCAGCTTGACTCCGACTTTGAGGATAGACTGCCTTGCTGATTTTGATGTGATGTTTTGCTGCTCTAGAATTAACACTGACCCAAATGACTGGGATTCAGAGCAGAAATTTGCAGAACAGCAAAATGTTTCCACTGGAAATTTGAAATATATTGGCTGTAAAATTTCAAATGTCTGATTTTTCTTCCAAAATCCCTGTCTCAGTTACTGCCCTTTTTAAATCCGGTGCTGGCATTTCTGAACTTCCCTTGCTTTATGTGAAGACACTTCTCTGGCTCTTAAGAGGTGGGAAGTGCCATTTCCCTCACCAGTTCTGCAGTGTCGAGAGGTGAATGACGTTGACGCAGGTGTCTGTATTCTGGGTGATGGAAGCCGTGGGGACAGAGCTGATGTCACTCCCACCTTCGTGTCCTGCTGGGTGTAGCCTGGCAGCAGCGTGGGACCATCCTTTTTACTCTTCAGACCCCATCCCCTCTCTTCTCCCACTGTTTTTAGTTCATTTAGATCCTCAAATTGTTTCATGCAGGAGCTTCCTGGGCTTGTTTGTGTGCTATCGTCCCCAGAAGAAATTACTAGCTCACAGAAATAATTGCCTTTAAATACCAGTGAGCTTTGCAATTTTCTGCTTAGTAAGAAGAAGGAGTAGTGACCACAAAGCTTGGTTCCTCTCCATTGTGTCATTCGCTCAAGGTACACACTGATTTCTGCTCCAAATCTTAACCAGCGAGAGAGATGAGTCCCTCACTCGAGTGGGGCAGGCTGGGGTGGGGGTCTGAAGCCCGCTGCTGGCTTTAGCAGTAAGATGCGACTGCACCACCTGCAAGGCAGCGGCAGTGGGGAGGTTGTACGGCCCCTATGGCTTGGGCATGGAAAGGGCTGAAGTCAAAACGCAACAGGAATTGCTTATTTTCACTTCACTAACCCGCCAGCTCGATAACAAAAATAACCCAGGAGCTCACCCTCGCATTTCCATGCAGATTTAATAATCCTGCAGTTTGGGGAAGGGACTCGTTTTATTAAGATTTCATTTTGCACAATAAATCACTGCATATTTTCTGATATGCTACGAAGTATAATAATAAATAATTAAAACTAAACTACCCTTACTTGTCAAAATAAATGATTTATCATAGTTTGGGATATAGCATCTTTGAATTTTTTATTGTTTGATTCCCAGAATATTATAATTTCCAATCAGTGAAGTTAATGAAGCTCCAGTGTACTTTACTGCGTTTGCACGTTACGGGTTTTTGTATTTTGCAAAAATATTTATGGTTAGCACTTTTATGTACCATTTCAAGTTTACACCTTTCTCATATTTATGGCAGTAAATCACAGAATTTTGGGATGACAAATTTATTCAAACGAATTACCCTTCTGGTTTCTATACTTCATCTAGCAACCTGGAATCGCCCAGTTGTGCATGAGAAAATCAGAGGTTTTTGTCCTATGCTGTGGAAACAAAAATACTTTGGAGTGTTAAATTTTGGGGTTACAAAGTCTAATGGGCTTTGTATTTTGGGTTTCCTGGGAAAAAAAAAAAAGTGCTTTTTCACTTCTAAAAGAAAAAGAGAAGAACTTCTCTTAAGGATGGTAGATCTGGAGTTAGTGTATTTTAATCTTGAGGAGAAGGAAATAGATTGGAAAACTAGACTCAGGTACAGGGATCCTTAGATTTTGGAAATAATAACAGAAAGAGAGCATGGGACATGTTTTTGGTGGACAATGTTATGAAAGCTATAGAATAAGATATTTTTTTTTCATCTGTGTCCGTTTGGAAAAGCAAAGAGTTTCCATTGGTTTTCTTTCCAACTTCACAGTGCTGATAGCGCTCCCAGATTTCTACTTCTTATTTTTTATGGGGAAAGAAATCAAACAGAAAGAAACTTCCGTTATTGATACAACAAGAACAGCTGCTCTTTTTAAAATACATAACCATTAACTAAAGAATCTAGATGGGATCACTCCCATTTATTCCACGGATATGTAGTGTTAAAGTTCTGTAGAGGGTG